TGATGAGTCAAAAGCCACATGCCCATAAGTTATAATTAGCTGGTTACTATTATGCAGATGCACAAGATTTGTAGAATCTAGGAAAAACAAACTAAACGCAAATAAAACCTAACTGGGAGGAAACTGGAGCACTAAATTACATGCATAATAAAATGTTTGTAACCATAGATTACTTTTTAAGCTGTTACTCATAGAGTGAAGTTTTCTTATCTTTATATTTATATTTTAATATAGTTGACTCCACGTCTTCTTTTAATACTCCTTTGACTCAATGGCAAAAATATATATTTTTGTGTACTACAACCATAAACCAACATAATAAGGGTGTCAAATTAGCTGTAAGTCTAGGACAACAGAAGACACATCCATGCACTGAGGTCATGTACTGTATACAAAGCTGTATTTCATAGGCCATTATTAGTGATTGCCTTTACTAACACATTTGATTTTCACTGTGCAACATAAAAGCAGCATGACTCTCCCTGCAAAGAATAATTACACTTTTTCAACTATGACTAAAATCAGAAATGCCAAACATAAAAGTTTGTGTCAAATTAAAAAAAAATAGGCGGATTATGGCATTTAACGGGAAGAATCGGAGGAGCAGGAGATGGCACTCAGAGAAAGCGAAGGCTTCAAGTCAGAGAATTCAGGAATGGGAAGATGAGCATGTCTAGTTTTTCGAGAGTACAAGTGGAGGAGCAGTGCACGTTTCTCTGCAAGCCTGTGAGGCGTGGGATTTCACTTGGCTGGTATGCACTCTTTCCTGTGTTGTGCCTTGGTGGAATTCCTGGTATCACAGTGAAGGTGATTCACAGTGAGCTGGCCTCCCACTCTGCCTGAGTCACACTCTGCTGTCTGCACTATGTGCTCACCAGAGCAGAAGGGACCCAGAGGAGACAAATGCGTCCTGAGATGACAATTAATTTCTAACAAGATTGACATGCCTTAAGGGCTGACAACAGCCCGTGAAAGACGTTTTCAATCTTGATTTGAATGAACTTGACTGCCAGTGGGCCGTGATCCTTGTCTAGAAAGTTTAGACTGATACTTGTATCTGTCATATAAGTCTCAGCCTAGCTATTTAGCTAGTTTATTGATTTGATTATCATTTTAATTCCTGGTAATTGTTATATGTAAAACTGTTGTTTCTAATAACTAGGTTTTTGAGTATTAACTCTATATGTGATTTATATGCTTTTCCTGTCAAGTAGGGTTTTTTATTAAGGAGAAAACTTTCAATTTAGATTTTTTCTTTTCAGCTACTTTTCCTTCTGCTAATTGTCACACGTGATTCTGTTTCATTCACAGTGTTTCCATATGAATCAAACTTCTCCATATCCATACAATATATCTTAAAATGGGAATCCGCAGGTAGACAAAGAATATACAAATCTACCTGGATATGAGAGAACCAAGATGTTTAGACCAAATTTATTTCTTTTACCATCATTATTTGCTAGTTTCAAGATTTTTAGAGCAGGTATGTTGAAGTAGCAGATGTTATTTCTGTTTAAGACCGGACTAAATCCACAGAAACATTTTGTTTGAGTTTTTCTTCTCTTATTTGTTTGGCTTAAAAAAATAAAACCGCAAAGCTTCATACATCATAAAAGATAAAAGTATAACCTGTCTTCAGGAATTTAATGGATGAAGATATCTGAAATCGTACCTGTGTTAAATAAAACATTGAACCTTCAAACCAGTGTTAAAAAAAATTAAACTAAAAATATTATATTTATAATATTCATAACATAATTCATGTACTTGTTTTTTTTGTTTTTAAAGCAATTAAAAACATTAGCTATATCATGCCAGTAGCTGTATCACTCTACAACTCACAACGGGGAACACACTGAAACTAAGCAGGTGTGAGCCTGGACTGGAGACCTTCTGGGGAAAACTAAGGTTGCTGCTAGAAGAGGTGTTAGTGGGACTCTCCAGTCTATGTGGTCCTAATGCCCAAAGAATAGAGACAGGGACACTATACTGTAAAAAAAAAGTGCCATCCTTCAGATGAACTGGGAAATGGAACTGGGCTCCTGACTCTCCGTGGTCATCATAACTCCCTGAGCATTTCTAGAAAAGAGTAGGAGTATTAACTCTGGCCACTTTTACCTATCATGTTCTTCTCTCCTACTAATCCCCATCTTTAAATCGGCTTCATTACTCTGCTCTCTTCCCCACTGATAGCTAATGTGTGGTGAGCATATTGGTGCACTTTAACTGCCATTACATCATCCAGGTGTATTCTACACATTGGTGGTGGTGGAGGGGAGTCCCCATTCGCTGTAAAGCACTTTGGCTAGAGTCTACAGGAAAGCACTATATAAATGTAGGGATTATTTATTATTGATTAGCAGAATCACATACCAGCTCTGACACTGAAAAGGTTTAAATAGTCTAATGCTCGTAAGTCTGATACTGTATATTGAACTAATTCTACCTGAATGTATTTTTTCCTCATAATTGCAATAAGTAGATAGAAATGTCGCTCTGAGAATCCTAAAACGTGACCTGAACACATAGTTAACAAGGACTGCAGACTAAATGTTGTGCTCCAGATTGTGACAGCTACTGCCTTTGTAAATGGTAAATAACAGATAAGTTAATTTGCACATAACTTGATTTTTTATACATTTTTAAATCACAGTCTGACAAAGCTTAGCATTCTTGGATGTCATTCACCCTTTATTTGTAGATTTCTGTTGAAGCTGTCGGTTAAGGATGGTGCTTGTCAAATAGCAGTCTGCCAGGGTGTTACCCCAAATATGAGAACTGAATTGTTAAAATTGTACTAAAATACGTTTTTTGCCTTTTTTCAAACAAAAGCAGAACATTTTATCTCAATACTTCTTTAAATGCACAACCAGGAGTGTCATATGACAAAAGGCTTTACTGTGCTTTTAAATGTGCTTGAGTGCTGAGAAGCTACAAGATTGATGTGCTGTTTATCCATTGCCTTAGGTGGCTGTTTCTTTCACGAAACAGCTGGATGAGATCCTCAGATTGCTTAGCAACTAAAACCCAAATGAACTAGTTGGACCGAATAGACTCCCCTCATTTGCAAACTGACTTTTCTTTAAAGTTGCACTCTACAATTGTGTTCAAAGGGGGGCTGAAGAAGAAAACCGATAATTCTTGTCTCGCTTTCATCCCTTTAAAGACTAGAGAGAACTTATTTAAAATCAGAGGTCACCTTTTTCCTAATCTCTTCCCTACACTGATCTCTGCATTTTTACTCACAGGTCTTGCCAAGTACACTTTCAAGCCCAGTACCTCACAGCTCCACCAAAGACTCTGGTTTACACAGTGCTTTTAAATCCTCCAATCGTAAAAACAAGCTGTGCCTGACTGCACAATAGATACTGATCACTTCCATTCCTTAGAAAGTCTTTTCACTCATAGTAGGTAGCACACAGCTGCCAATCTCTTGGTAAACAGGATCTCGATTACTCGTTTGCTCCTTCATTCCAGAGCCACTACTCTGCCTGCTCATCTCTCCCCATCTTGCTCACTTCAGCTCTTTCCAGTTTGAATCATTCAGATTTTAACTTGAGCTTACAGGCTGAAAGACGAACCAGAGAAAGGTGCTGTTCTTCAAATGCTGTGGTTAGAGACGTTTAGAAAATATCAGAATAAAGATGTATTATCATCATGCCGTGAACACAGCTGAGGTTTCAGAGCTTCATTCTTTCCTTCTGAATTTGCTTGTAACCATGAGCTTTCAAGGTATTTCCTTCTGTTTCACATTTCAACATTTATCTAAATTAAAATGTAAAGCATCTTAAAAAATCAGCGTTTAAGTGTAAAGATCATATATTCTTAGAATGTTTTTTCATATTTAGTGAGGAGTCAGTCTTTTTCTTTTGTAGTCCTTGTCTGCTGATCAGAATGTTTTTCTGTGGTTCACAATCATTGTTGTACAGTACTCTGTTTCACCTTGAGCACACTAGGCCAGTATAGTTTTAAACTAGCTGTGGCGAAGCTCCATGAGCATCCTGAAACCTCATCAGTGTCTAGACTTTATGCACCAGGGGTTTTAAAGTGAGAAATCTCATCATCTCATTGAAATGTTAGACAAAGGCTGAAAGAGAATTGTGCTGCAGCAACTACAGAGTTCTTATTCTGGGAGACGTGTGATTTTTGTTGTGGTACTTTAAGATTGCAGGGAAAGGTTTAACGTGGGTAGTCACTGTTGCCACAAAGGGCTGTAAATGGAATTCATTGGGAGATGCAGGTGTTAGGGTGTTCATCGCCCCCATTTCTTAAGGGTTGTGGAGACTGATCATGGAAGAGTGGGATTACATCGTGGATGCAACATCAGGCCATCACATGGCATACAGGAACATTTTAAAGAGGCCATTTAACTCTGCCAGCATGTTAGGGTGGGAGTAATAAAAACCCATGGAACATACAAGCTCCATACAGAAGGTTTCCAAACAAATGACTAAAGAGCTATGTGGCAGTAACCACCGTGCCACTGCCCCCACTCCTATATAGATCAAGCAAATGTAAATGCATTTATCACACACAGCATTGTTCAGTCCGAATGTTGGAGGGTAGTAAAGTTCTTTATTTTATGTAATTAACCTAGAGCCCACTTTTACAGAAAGCTGAAAAGGGGATGGAAATTCAAGCTTCAAAAACTTGATATCCCAAAGCCCAGTGCAGGAGCTGTTGTTCATGATGGTGCCATATGGTGTGAAGACAAGTGTTCATTATGAAACATTATCAGAGGGTTAATTTGTGTAAGAACATTTTGACAGGCAATCTGATGTTCATGATGCATCAAAAGGATGCTTTTGAGTGGAGTATTTGGATTTAGAATTGTTTTCAAACTCCTGATATCTGTGGTGGAAGACTGGCTCCCGTGTTATCTTATTTCAGTGTGTGTTTTTTTTACCTGTGATTTTTATCTGAGAGAGCAAGTATTCCAGCAAACCTGTACATATATTAAGAAATTAAATCTGTTGTATGTGGCTTTGTCGTCTTCCCAGGATGAACGTGAAGCAAGAGAGATGGTGAAGAGGGAGCAAGATGAAGCCTACCGCTTATCTTTAGAGGCGGACCGCAAAAAGGTTGGTTCTGCTGATTGTGAGCTCGACATTAACAAAATTTAACAAACAATTTAACAAATTAACAAAAAGAGCAAGTGACAGACAATAAAGCTGAGAATGGTAGTATTCCCTGTACACTGTTCCGTGAAAATATTTGGTATTGAAAATAACATTCACCCGAGTTCAAAACGAATTGGATACAATTGTAATATATCCCAGAGCAGAACGTTACAGAAGAAAGAAAAAATGAGGCCGTTCAGTTTCTAATGATTGCTATACAATCCCCATTCAGCCAACTGTCAAGCATATACTGTAGTATCTCTGATCTCCCTCCCAAGAACTGTCCAGTCTAGTTTTGTTTTACATATGAAAACATGGACATGATATTTTGCAAGTTTGTAAAGTTAGTGGGCTTTAAATCTTAACAGGTCTTTCCCTTTGCAGTATACATCCTTTGTTCATCACCCATTTAATTTCATCACCGACACTTTGCATTTTGTGCTCTCAGCAGGGTTCTTCTTTCAGATATGGGTTTCTGTCAGATATTACCAAGTTTGTGAAAAATAGGAAAGGCTGTTATGCGTTACCCAGCCATGCTTCATAAATTGCTTTTAGATGAGGTTTGCTTTGTGGCCATCGCCATGCTTGAGATTAGAAATTCCACATCCCTGAAACTATAGAGACTGTGATTGTATTCGTGCACTGTGGTCCGAAAAACTTTGTCTGCTTTAAGTGTAGATTGCTGGCAGTATAGCATGTCAAAAATGAATTCTATATTCAATAAATTGCGAATTGTTTTTATCGGATTTTGGTAAAGCGAGAAAAAGACAGCATGCCATCATGTTTGTTGGTTGTCTGATTTGGGGTGGCTGCCTAAATACTGGCGGGGCGCCAGCGCAGCTGCCAGCTGAGTGACACTCTGGCATGTGTCGGTGTTGCAGAGAGAAGCCCAGGAAAGGGAGGTGGCGGAGCAGGTTCGCCTGGAGCAGATCCGGAAGGAGCAGGAGGAGGAGCGCGAGGTAAGACCGAATCCTCCAGCATGTGGCCAGCTGGTCGCCAAAAGATTGTGGCTGCCTGAATGGTTTTAATGGAATCCCTCTGATTCTTCAAGCTCCACGTGGAATCACCTACTTTGATTAATAGGCTAATAATAGCTAATTGAGTAACATGGGATGAGTGTCCTCCTTATCTTAAGCTTTTTTGTATACAGTGTGTTACGAGTGGCTTGCCCCTCAAGTCTAGTCTAGCTTTAGTCAAGTCTAAAGCTTTCTCAAAGAAATAGACCTTCCATTTTGTTCAGACATGTAGAAAGGTGCTCATTTTATCTGAAGGTTTGTTTAAAGTTTCATGATTTTACTAGACTTAAGGGCACTAATGGCAGAATTGTATTTCTTTCAGTAAGAAAGTCCCATACTGATTTTCACTACTGAGATGGAAAAGTTACCCCTGAACCACATTGTGAACCAGATGTCTTGATTCTCACCTTTCATGAACACGCAACTTAACAAGCAATCAAACAAAAAAGCATTCAGAACGATCATTAAAACTGAAAGGGAAATGTTCCTTCCACAGTCACCTCTCCTTTTGTGTTTACTGCCCACACAATGATGTACTGTGTGACGAATGAATCAGGTTAGACTGCAGTCTTTGGGTGATTTGTCACATTAGTGAAATAGCTTTGTCAAAACCAGAGCCTGTGTAATTAGATTATTCTTGGATACTCTTTCTGTCATTACCTGGCAGCAAGAGCTGCTGTGTAACAATGTACATATTGAGATATATAATACCACACAATGCCACTTCTCATTTAGGCATCGTATTAAAATCCCCACTGTTTAAGCTTACCTAATAATGCATCCTTTTTACAAGACACAGCAGAAGTAAACAGAAACTGCAAAGTAAATCGATGGGCAGACCTTTGCAATTGTGCCTGGTTTGTTTTACTGGTTACCTGACCTTTTGCCATTTAGTTGAGTATAGATCTGGACTTGGTCTTGAGAAAATGGTCAAATATAAAGCTTTAAAAAAATCTCCTGTCCACCTCCGCTGGACAGAAGGAATGAGGGATTCCCGCTCCTGACTCCTGTTCTTCAGGTTGCATCTCCCAGTTAACATGAGTGGAGGAAGCAGACAGCTGCATAGAGGTGTATCTGACCAGTTTTAGGACCAGCATATACAGACAGCTGTTTGCTCATTTTGAGGCCGTGTGAGTTGCAAAAATGAAATTGTTCAGTTTTGTGTTTTAATAGATGTGGAAATCTCTTAAATATTCTTTAATGCAAGTGAATCCCTGTGTGAAAGCATTGTATTTTGGAGTTTGTGTCTGATTGGGAACCGCAGTAATTGAAATGAAATACATTTCTGTGGAGAGCAACTCTCCCATGCTCTTAGGTAATCTAGTTTCAGTAGCGAGTACTTATTTCCTATATGCTTTACCCACTGTTCAAATTCTTATTTTTTCTCTTCATACACAAGGGATTGTGTTTTAATGAGCATGATGGCATCCACTTATACACCAGATTGATCTTTGCAAGGAGAGTCAGCTCACATGGCACATTTAAAAGAAACTTTTTATAGGAGAGCACAGCTCCTCGTACAAATGCATTCTAGTATGTATCTCAAAGTATGTGTAAAAACTATTTAAAAGGAAGCAAAGCATTTTCACTAAAAGAAGTGCAGAGGTGGCTTTGTCATTAACAAAACAGGCTTTCAAATGAAATGTCAGACCTTTTGTGAACGGAGGTCAGTATTTCATAAATACAGCAGAGCTGTATTCATACAGACAAATGTGACCTATATTGTATACTGTATATATGCTGCATACATGAGTGCAGCTGTTGTGGCTGCTGATCAGAAGCAGTCCGTGGCTGTGAAAGAATACCTCATTTCTCTGACATTGTCTGTGGATAAACAGCCCGGCATGCTGTCCTCACCGCTGGACGCCCGCCAGCAGCTCGCTGCCCTTCTCCACAATACACACAGCCTCTTGAAAGGACATAGGGAAGCTGGCTGGGAGTGTTTATTTTTTAATATGAGAATGCTTTTAGAAAAAGCAAAACAAAAAGTGTATATATGTTATTATACATATTAGTAGGCGGAAATACATACTGAGATTATTATGAAGTAGGTGAAAGGGAAGCCAGACAATGGGGATTTGCCCACAAAGAGGTGGGGAGGGTTTGTTCGGTCATTGTTCCAGGACAAGGCAGGAGACAAACCGAGCTCTCAGGTGCACGCCCGTCGTCCTTTTCAAGCTCTCTGTAGTCGAAAGGTGCTCCGCGTGCCCTTTGTGGCGGGCCTGCCCTGCCGGTGTTTGCAGCGCGCTTGTTAGATGCGGAGCTTTTTCTCTCAGGGCTCATTGTATGGCCCAGCTCAGGGGAGTAGGCCACGAGCACCCCTGGCTCAGGCACACAAAGACACAGGCTGCTAATGAGCTACTGTTGTCGACTCTTATGAAATATAATTGCATTAGGTTAGTAAATAAAGCTGGTATCTGTTGTCACAGCATATGTTGCCGACTGTCAAAATAAGAACATTCGGCTGAAAGAGGAAACCACACAGAGCAGGATACTGAATTGCACCTTCGTCATCTTTTGTTCTTATTACTAGTATTATTAATAATATAAATTGATATTAGAAATAGTTTCAAAGAGCTCTCAAGATGTCATCTTTTTCAAAATCAGCATATATACGAAATTGTGGCCAATTTTAAAGTTAAAAGGAAAACAAGAACAGTACTTTGAATGCATATATTCTGCATTAAGGTTAGCATGAAGTGTGGTATTTAACTTGACCTTAAAAGTGTTATGTCAAGCATTTTGAAGTTTGAAACTTTAAAATATTTCAAAAAGAAGACGGCACTTTCAAATAGCACTCGTTCTGGGTGTAAAAGAGTAGTATTTTTACAGTATCTTTTAGCCATTGCTGTGTTCTGATTTGCTGTTGTGCACATCGGTAGATTGTAAATGGGCTACAGTTTATTTTGCATCAGAGGAAAGATTGTTCTTTTTAATCAATTCGAGGTCTGCTAAGGGCCCATGTTGTTAATTTCCTCTTTCCCGCTGTTGGGTAACGTTGTTGGTTTCTCCCTCCTTCTTCCAGGCAATCCGTCTGTCGTTGGAGCAGGCCCTGCCCCCAGAACCCGAGGAAGAGAGCAGCGAGCCCATCAGCAAGCTCCGGATCCGGACGCCCAGCGGAGAGTTCCTGGAGCGCCGCTTCCTGGGCAGCTGCAAGCTCCAGGTCCTCTTTGACTTTGTGGCGTCCAAGGGCTACCCCTTCGAGGAGTTCAAACTGCTGACCACCTTCCCCCGCAGAAACGTGAGTACTGTACCCCACCTTCCGTCCTCGCTGACTTCTAACAGAAGCTCATTTATGTCTTCTAAAATCACCAAAAAGGTCTCACAACTTGCCCCACCACAATTTTTAATAATATAAATATTTTTTATGTATCATATAAAAGTCAACATTATGTGCACAGGGTACTAATTAAAGTGACCCTAGAGGCAGCTTAAGTGTTTCCCCTCGACTTTCTTTTTTTTAAATGAAATTGAGCTATAAACATACTGTCTAATACAAGTCTCTGTGGTTACATCCCCCAGTGTTCACAGAGTTGCTTTTGGTTAGCTTGTTTTGAATGATCAAGCCTGCCTCAGTGCTCCTGAAGGAGCCAGTTAGATTTAAAAGTCTCTTGCTTTGCTGGGATTAATGTTGGTGGACTGAAAACAGTCGGTCAAGTTGCTCAGCATTCACCCTGAAACGCTGAGCCCTCGAAGACTTCCTCTCACTTTAACAAACACTCATTCACGTCAGAATTGTGGAACACTGATGTAAAGATGTAAACACAAGAGTTATAGTTGTCTGTAGAGTTTTCTTTTGAAGAGACATTTGCTCAATTGAAAGACAGCTGAAGCTGCTCGTAAGACCAGAAGATATTTATTATGTAATTTACTTAATATTTTGACAGCTGTATTAATTTCAAGATGGAAAAAATATCTAGATCATCCTTGATCCATCACTATTTTGTGGCAGACAAGCCTAATACGGCCTAAAAAACATTAGGAAATGTGTGCTCTAATGGGTACACAAAAATAGTTCTGCCATGTTACTATAGCACTAAGGAACAATAAACTGCAATACAGAATCAGTGTTAAGAAAGAAATATAAAGAAGTTTGGATTATTTTGTACTAGCCTGAGCAAGGTCCTTTGAAAGAGGTGTAAAACTGATGCCCTGTGACTCTGCAACAGTAGTAATTAATGCACAGTTCAGCTGATGGGCTCAAAGGTGCTTCATCTTAAATCGCCTGCTAAATAACCTTTCTCTTTGTTTCTTCATCTTTTTCTGCCTCTTAAACTTTTCTCTTCCCTTTTTGTTTTCATCGTTAATAATCTGGTTTATGCTAAATCTGTCCAATGTAGTGGGACTTCATATATGAACTAATCTTAAATTTAATCTGTAGGTGTGTGTAATTTCCCTGGACAAATGTTTGTACACACTCCTTTGAATCGTAGAAATTTGAAAAAGCATTTGAAAAAGAGACTACGAAAATGAAAATCAATAATGGGGAAAAACGACTGCTTGCTTAAAAATTGCAGATCTTTTTGAATGACACAGACAGACATCTTGCAGTGTCTTTTGATAATGTTTACACTGCAGCAGGTATTCATCAGTAAGTTGTAAAAGCCAGTTTTGCCTGTGTCCTCCAAGATGAGCCAGAGCTGTTGACTTGCGTGCTTTCCTCGCCTAAATGTTCTCATCTGCTTTTTAACAGACTGTTCAGTAACGGCTAATCTCTATCAATGATGTGGAGAGAGGAAAAAAATGTACTGAGACCTTTAATATTGTAACATCTCCGCTAAAGAAAAAAAAATAATTGGGTCGCTATTCCCACAAAGTCGCTGCTTGATATAGTTTGTTGCTCATATTTCTCCCCTGTGCCCACTGAGTACTACTGCATGGAAAGTTCTAGGCGTGCAGTTTAATTAAAAGCTACGGTGGGCTAATGAGAACCTCCTTGATTTCATGTTTTTATTTCTATACACATGTGCCTTTATTATTCTGCGAATATTAATTAGGATCCCTGTATGCACCAAAGAGCACTGGTTACTTAAGATACTGTCAGCAGTCCTCTCTGCTCCTCCACTGCACCCTTGCAGCGGCAGATTTAACACAGTAATTATAGGGGGAGGTAAGTTCTGTGGCAGGTAGCTAATGAGCGTCATTTTTAACTACCTGGTTAATTAGACTTGTGGAAACAAATATGGGATTATTCATTAAGGAGAGCTGCCAGGCCTGCCCAGACAGCCTGCCTGGCCCATCTCTGGGGAAAACTGCACACTTGTGTTGGTGTCACTGTGCCTGCAACATGCAGCCTGCTCCTTGCATTTAATACAGTGTAACGGCAGGGAAACTGGCTACAGGGCTGAGTGTGCTCAGATTGAGCACGATGGGTTTGCCAGCTCCTCGTTTCTAAACCAACAGAAATATACACAATTTCATTTGCATTCAGAGAATTTGTGAGTAGCCCAAATGTGCAACCTGTTCGTTTGCAAAGGCGGATCGGCAGTAATACAGCCGATCACGTAAAGGGGCCTTTCTTTTAATTAAACTCCACGGGAACGAGTCAAGTGGCAGCAGTGTTTGTGCATCTGAACGCAGCTCCTGTCTAATCCTCACGCGCTCAGATCTAATTAAAATGAAAACAGAAAACTGCTAAATGACATCCAAGGCTCTTATTTTTCTGGAAGGATTAGCTGAAATACGACTATTGCATTTGTAATTCTCCAGAAATATCGTTTAAATAGGATTTCTCTCCACCCTACCACCCGGGTTTAAAACTGAAGCTGATTGCCTGGGATCAGCTAAAACAAATTACTGAATACTTTTGTTTCTGTGACTGCTTGGGACACACTAGGGAAATGCCTGCTTTCCAATCTGCTTCTACATTCATAAATAAGCTAGTTTCTCTCTTCTGTACTTCATTTTTTAACCACTACAGCACGGTAGTTGTTTTCCAGATTTTCATTGCTCTGCTGTCTTCTCCTGTCACAGTTTACTGGAGTATTTTCTCAGGAGCAGTGAGAGAAACCTTACTGGTCCCGTCAGAAGTAGTTGTATTAGGCGTACTAATAAAAAAGGAACTCATCAGGCTGTTGCAGATAAAAAGTCACTGGAATGTGAGCTACATTATGCCAGTTGCCTTACCTGAGATGTCACTCTCTTGCCAACCATTTTGGAAATCTCTTCATTTCTTCAGATTTGTTTCTGTTCTTCAGTTTTTTGTCAGTTAAAAATGTTTTCCACCTCACATTCACTAAAACGGCTAGTGTCTCTAGTGTTTCTATGTTCTGATGAAACCTACTTCTGAGCCATACAGAAAACCAGAACAAAAAACCATACAGAGCTATACAAAAACCAAAGAATTAAAGTTTTATTTTTTACAGTTGTAAAACCTTTCAAATTTTCTGCAATTTCATAAATGTAAACCTAGCTGGACCTTCATTACATTAGTGCTGAATGAATTGCTGTAGCAGCAGTACTTCATGGAAAAGAAGGTTGTTTTATTTTTTTTGTATCTTTTGAGGATAAGTATAAATGAAAGTAACAGTTATCTGTGTCTACATTATATATGTGTATGCATTTTAATAATGTGTTGGTACTGTGTATTTTGTTTTCCTTTTCATGCTGTTGGATAGAAAATGAAATTACCATTTGCCTAGAACCTGCTAGTTCAAGTATATAATAAAGTAATTTCTTTGAAATATCAAAGGCTTTCTGGCAGACAAGACACTGTGTTTGCCTTGCTGCAGTCTCAAAGCTTGTTTGTGTGAGCCTTGTACACAGAGTGTAAATTTCAAATGGAGATGATGCCACATACTGCAGTGCTTCATACTGTTGATTCAACTGTGTAAACGTTCCCCCTGAAACACCTTGTCCTCTCGTCCAGTGAAGGCCCGGTGAGTTCAGCAGCTAAATAAGTTTTCATTCTGAGACTACAACTGTATTTCCTACAACAGCACATTTCCTTGATACAAACAACGAACAATGACCCTCTGCATTTTAAGTTGCACAAGAGGCCATAATTAATTACATCGTAATTCATTCTTCGGAAACCCCAAAACATAACCTGCCATCTTTATGCTTCTACTTTAGTTTCCAAGTATGTTCGCTGTATTGGTATGCATTGCATCTAGAAGAAAGACTAACAAGCCTCTTTCAAAGTCTTGTATTTGAGGAATAATGTCTGCTTAACCTTCCAGAGAGTGTGCAGTTATCTCGTATGTCCTGTCTGTCACCTTGGGTTCTTGAAAAAGTCATCCTCAACTGAGAGAGTATTGATGCTAATATTTCAGGAGAGCACCAAATAAGTTATTAAATGGTGATGAATCGCCTTTAAGACTATTAAATAATACTTAAATGGCTTAGAATCAGACTGTTACAAAGCTTGGGATGATTGCTTTACAAGGACAAAGCATGTTGAACCAACCTTTCAGTCATACTGAACACTTTTTATTATCTTTACAATAATTGTTCATTTAAGTTCTACTGTTTGCAATGGTGATTTGTTTTCAAAATCGTTAACTCTGTACTATATGCAGTTAAACTGTGTTAAATACTTACAGTAAGTTCTCAAAACACAGGACTTTTCAACCGTTTTCTGCTCAAGCCCTCGATTAAACCTTTGAAATGTTATTTAAGTCAGATTATTTAAGTGTGATTTTCGTTTTATGATCAGAATTTGGTGAAACCGCACAAGATGTCTGCTTGGGATTGTCCTACCCTCGGCCCGAGAGCGGGCACTGTCACACAGCCCTGAGGCGCTCTATCTCGCATCTCAGGCCTTGAGCACCCTCTTGCCCCCTCCCAAAGATCTGTTCACCAAGTTGCCGTCTCTTTCCAATTCCCAGCAGCTTGCTTGGAAGTGGTCTGTTCACGCCCCTGCTAAATGTGTTTCTATCATTCTTGGGAGCAGCTAATGATCTCCCACTGCTTTAGTAATTGGCCAAATAAACACTTGACAACAGAACTTTGAATCGGACAATTTCGGTTTAATTAATGTGAAACAGCTTTTTTGTACATTGATGATTTTTGCTGTAACAGGTTGGACAGTTTGAATTTTTTTTTGCCACTTTTTTATGGACAGCCTTTTTTTTATCCAGTTTTACGTAATTTATGCACCACTTTTTCAAATTCCTGCATGTTTCTAGAAACAATTTCTCCCATGTAAAACACCATTGAATTGCTTGGGTGAAGTGGTGGGTGTGCTCTTGTTACTTTTTGAGTCACTGTCCAGAACAATGTGAAGAAAGCATCAATAAA